GAGAAAATTACTGGGAGTAATGTTTTGATTATTCTTTTCAAATCTTTAATGAATGTGGGATAAAATGACAGATTCTGAAAACACCAAGACAAGGGGGTGGTAGAGCCATTTACTACCATTCAGCAGCTGTGAGTACCTCCCTGTGTGGGGATGTTCTCATGCATGGATCCTGCTTGCAGAACTGTCTGCTGGGCTGCTGGTTGGTGTGGCTTGAGCTGCAGTAACATTCCTCCTGACCTTCCTACAGGTTCCTCCAGCGACAACAGCACCTTGACAGAGCTGTTGCTCTCACCATACCTTTGGGTGCTCTCAACAGGCTACCTGGTCGTTTTTGGAGTGAAAACGTGCTGTACTGATTGGGGACAGCTTTTTCTGATCCAGGAGAGGGGACAGTCCATGATTGTGGGTAAGATGGAGAAATGCATTATTAAGCTCTGGGGCTGCAGTCTGGGAGGTGTTGCCCAGAGTTTGCCTGGGTAGAGGCCCTTCCACCTGAGGGACTTGTTTGCCTATCTCCTAGTTGTCTGCTTTGATACACACAGGTTTTGAAATAACTCAGTGATGGAGTTACTGCATGCCCCAAGCACCTCAGTGCCAGGGTGCCTTCCTGGGACTGGCAGACAGGCATTCCTGAACAGGGATGAGCCAGGTGGTTGTATCCAGCAGAGCTGCTCAAGTCCTCTGTGAGCTTACAGCAGTGGGACTGGTCTGGAGCCCACAGCAGCTCTTCTGTTTTGACCAAATCTCATGGACCATTCTTTGCTTCATCTGTGTTCTAGGCAGTTCCTACATGAGTGCCTTGGAGATTGGGGGCCTGGTGGGAAGCATTGCTGCTGGATACCTTTCTGATAGAGCAGTGGCAAAAGTAAGTCATGTGCACCCTTGGGCATGCTGGACAGGGAACACAGCAGCAATCTGAGCTGCTTCACTAAGCTGCTCAGGCGGGGTGCTGTCCCCATGAGCACAGCAGAGAAACCAGCCCACACTCAGTTCTTCCATGTGCATGAGCACAGCTGCCAAACACTCCAGAAGGCACTGGGGAGTAGCTCTGTTGATGTTAGGGGCTGCAATATGCCTGTCAGATTTGAGGTGTTTAGTCTGTTTAATTTGTTTGCTTTACTGTGGTCTCCAGATTTTCATGTTAAATAACTGTTTGCTGATAGTTGTCTTCTGTCTGGAAAAAACATCCACATTAAAATCCAGTGATGGGATCTAGAGGCAGATTCAGGATGGAACTGATTGATAACTGAAGTATTGCTCATTATTAAGAGCTTTTGTTTAGCACAGTTTGACTGTGTGCAGCCCTTAATACACACTAACGGGGCGTGCCAACTGATGTGCTGTTGATGTGCCATCCGTGTTTCTGACTGGGCTGTGGATGGCGTTAGTCGCTACAAGTATAAAAGGAAGTCCCTCCAGTTTCTGACTCTCAGTTTTCCTTCTTTGTGTCACAGGTGGGCCTGTCAAGCTATGGGAATCCTCGGCATGCACTGCTGCTTTCCATGATGGCTGGGATGTGCGTGTCCATGTTTCTCTTTCGGATCACAGTCACAGGTGACTCTCCCAAGGTAATTCACATGCAGCAGCTGGCCATCGCTTATAGGGATAGTCCTAGAACGGAGAGGTTTGATGACAGGGAGCATGATTGTTTTTTTCCCCATTCCCAAGGGTTTCTTTGTTTGCACTGTGGAGAAGCACTGGCTTAGCCTGGCTTGGGGTGCTCCTGCAGGCAGCCTGCCTTCCAGGCTTTGCATAAGATGTGACTAGCATCTGCCCTTATGATTGCTAAGTAAATAAAACTTCTTCTCTCCTTTCATTTTTTTCTTCTTCTTCAGGAAAACCACTTCTGGACTCTAGCCTTGCAACCTCTAGCTGATCTTACAGGCCTAAAAGAACATGAGGTTTCTGCTTGCATTTTTTCTCCCTCTGCCTGTTTCTTCTTTCCCTGGTCTGCCTTACTCCTTTCCTGAGAGGCTGGTTAGCACCTCAGAACTTAGAACCAGGGCATTGAGAAGAGATTACTGTAAGTTTGGTAAAAAGAAATGTTTTCTTATAATAATTTGAGTACACTAACTGACTTTAAAAAGTCTAACTATGTAACTTCTAAGTTTTATTCAGAAGGCTCTAAGGACTTCTGTTCATCAGGTAAAATAGAGCCAGCTAAGGGGTCTTGTGGGTGAGATCAGAAAGAATGATTCTGCTCTGGCAGATGCATTCTTACTTAGTTTCTGGCAAGTGTTTTCCTAACTCCTTTCTGTTTCACATCTGTAAAACAAGATGGCACTTACTTCTTTCTGGGCTTTTTGAAATGGTGTTTGCAATTCTAAAAGCATGTTGTTATGTGGAGATGTTACTTATCATTCGTTGTGCAAACAAGAGACTGATAATTTTGGCCCAGATAGGTTTCTTAGAGCATAAGCTAACATTGAAGTTCAGATTGTTGGGGTTTTATGTGGGTTTGTTTTTTTTTTTTTTTTGGTTTCTCAGTTTAGTAACATAGAGATTATCAGAAAGAGGTGTCTCACAAATAAACATGCTCTGATCAGTCCCATTCATCTAAACTGAGAAAAGCTTTCAGTTGGTAGCTCCAGGATTGTTTATGAAAGCAACCTGATTCACAGTTCTTTCCTATGATTTCATGGGCTCATTGCCGCCTTCTCTTCAATGTTCTGTTTCTTGGAAATCAGCACAGGATGTGTTATATGCTCTGGGGGGCAGAACTGTGAGAGGGAGGAGAGCTTGCACTGGCCAGCAAGATGGAGTGGTGGAGATGCAGCTGATCTTTATGGATTTGGGGGTCTCTAGAGACTTCTGGCTGTATCTCTTCTGGCTGTATCTCTTCTGGCTGCAGGCTGGGGAGCTGGTGTCAGCCTGAAAATATCAAAACTCCCTGGTACTGTGTATTGAATCTGAAAATTGTCAACAGTTGCTAACTGACAGTGGTGAGGTTCACAGATCCTGTTTCTGATTTAAACTTGCTTTGACAGCTGTGGATTCTGACTCTGGGAGCTGTGTTTGGGTTCTCCTCGTATGGGCCGATTGCCCTGTTTGGGGTCATAGCCAACGAAAGTGCCCCTGCCAACCTGTGCGGCACCTCCCATGCCATAGTAGCCCTCATGGCCAATGGTAAGTAATACCCGTTTCCCCAAAAAAACCCAAAACCCATGCATGTTCTTGATGAGGCATGGTCCAGTCCCTGGGTGCCAAGCTACTGATCATGGGAAGGCACCTAAGGAGGGAGAGATAATGGAGCTGGAAGCCTCAGGGATGCTTTCCTGCTGTGCCCGACACGTTTTGCATTGTGCTTTAAGTTCAAACCAGGCCTGGGGAGTTGTTACATACACAAAAGCAGGTATTGATAGATAATATGGGAGCGCACAAGTGTTGTTATCTTTCTGTTTGTTTTTCATTACAGTTGGGGGTTTCCTGGCTGGACTGCCTTTCAGTACAATTGCCAAGCACTACAGCTGGGCCACAGCCTTCTGGGTAGCTGAAGTCACCTGTATCGTTAGCACAGTGGCTTTCTTCTTCCTCCGAAACATCCGCACCAAGATGGGCCGGATTTCCAGGAAGGCTGACTGAGGATAAGCTGCTTGGTGGAAAGGATGTTCCCACACTGACGTGAATGATGCTCATTTTTGTTTAACTGGCCTAGGAGTGAATTTACCTATTGCTGCAATCTAGATAAAAATGTCTCAACTTTTCATCCAGTGTCAGGTGCCAGAGTGCACAAGGTTCCTGCTACTGATCACCTTTTCCCTCAAGATGTGATAATTCACCTAGTTTACATTTGCAATGATTTTACTGTACCTCTTCCTCACAGCACTGTTAGTGAAGCAAGCAGGCTCTGCAGCCCAAGCTTCCCCACTACAAGTGTTCTGAAATGACTGGCTTCAGGTGCACTTACCTGTAGTTTTGTCATTATTGTTTGTCTCAGCCATTAACAGAGGCATTAATCAGTTTCACCGCTCAGGGCCCCTGAACCGAGCCTTTGCTGCCTGCCTCTGTCCCATCCAACTGCATAAGCACAGCTGTCCCAGGTCACTTCAGCATGAGCTCTGTGTGTGCTCAGCCACATGACAGCAGCAGACCAGGGAATGGCAACGACTGCAGCCCAGCCTGCTTTGACGGCAGCAAGGCTTTAGCTGTATGTGAGATTAGTTGCTAGGAGTGAGGAGTGTGTTGCTGTGGAACAGTGGGAGATGCTGCAGCAGGGCTTTCCACGGCATTTAGAGGTAGGCATGTTTCCAGGGAATTCATGGCGTTTAGAGAAGGTCCTTCTAAGTGAACTGACCCCACCTGGTGCAATGTCTGCATACAGTGTTAATGATTTGCAAGGGAGGCAGCTGCCACCAAGGCAGCTCGTAGCCAGTGCTCTGCAAATCAGCCAGAACTATCCCAGCAGCAGGAATTGCAACAGCAGCCACCACCAACCCACAAGTTCTGCAGCTGGATTTCATGATAACCCACATTTCTACCATTGGCTTGTATTTTTTCACTACAAGGTGTGAAGACTGGGATGGTTTTGGTCAAGAGTTGCATCTCTCACTACTGCAGGCAGGGGCTTGGGCTGCCTTTGAGTCAGCCTTAGTGGGGCCATCATTGACAGCCTTAGCAGTAAGGTCCAGCACCCTGCACTAAGTACACTCAGGTATTTAACCAGGAGTTTGTTGAGTATTCTTGTTTTTCCCCAAAAGGATTTACTGTTTTAAGGTCCTGAAAGAGGCAAGTTCAACTCGTAAAGAACCTGCATGCAGGTACTTTGCTGAATACCTTGGTTGCAAGAGTAGTTAGCTAGCCTTAATTAAAAAAATGGAACTGAGTTACATTTTGTACTTAATTACATGATGATCTTCTGTATGTGAAATAAAAATAGAGCAATGTCACAAGGGCCCTGGTTGTCTTATGGAGAGTGGTGCAAGCAAAACCACCCAAACCCATCTATCCTCTTGGGGTACCACTGGCACAAGTATCCTCGCCAACAGAAAAGCAAACAGCCATTTGCCTCATTAATAAACACTTATTACTTCTGTACAGAAACCCTCTGCAAGACCAGAAGTTAGAGTTATACAGGAAGAATATATATGTACATTTATGACAGGAAAGAAAAGCACTGACTGTGGTAAGGCCGCAGACCTGCCCTTTCTCCATCACCCAAGTGCAGCACAGCTGCAACAGCAAAATAAGGCCCTGTGGCCCAATGTCAACAGTACTAAGGAATCTGTTCAAGGTACATTTCACAACGAAGGGAATGAACCAGTATTTTGGGAGATACTAAAGCATGTCTTGGGGATATGCAGTTTCTGCTGTGAAGAGGGGAGCTTTGTGAGAGGCCAGCCAGGGAAGACAGAGGCCCCACTCTTCAGACGAATCTGTACAACAGGTGAGGCTTTCTCTATGATCCAGGTCCAAAGGGTCCAGCTTTCTCTGCCACTTCCAGAGCAAGCTTCAAGTTCTGATCAAACAACTCACACCTGAAACCATCAGAAAAGCAAAAGGGATGACTTTTACCTATGGAAGTGAGTTAACAAAGCTAACAAAGGATCTCCACATCCTTTGGCTCTGCATCCTTTGAGGATTCAGGAAGTTATGACACAACAACACGACTGCTGTTGAAGTCTGACTTGGTCCTTAGTTAAGATTAAAGCTTGTATAGGCCTGAATATACAGTAGGACGGCAGGGTTTGTGTCAAGGAAGTGCACCTCCCACCTCCCCAGCAGAGCCAGCACTGGAGAGAGCTCAGGTCTCTCTCCACAGCAGTGTGCTGTGGCTTCCTTCCCCTTTCCTCAAGCCAGTTTTGCTACTTAAGGACTGTCTGCCATTTCCTACTGTATAGGCACAAAGCAATAAGGGGTTGCAGCCAGGTTACTAAAAGTGGGCTTTTCCTTACCTTATTGGCATCTCCAGGGAGTAGAAAGGATTCTTCAGAGCGAAGTCTGAGTAAATCTCATAGATTTTGCGGAGAAGAGCATCTATCCCTGTCTGCCTTGGGTCAGCGAGAACCATGAATTTGATCCCTGGAGCCGTAATGCCAGGAGCATAAGGAAGGCCAAGCACAGCAACAGCCCAGCCAAAGCAGAGCGGTGTCGGGTGCCTAGGGCCCGATGGTACCTGTCAGTGTCTGGAAGCAGTGCAACTTGAAGGTGTCGGTCTCCAGCATCTCGATCCCGGAGCTCCCAACTTCAGGTGACAGCTGTGACCCGATGGCGAACAGCCTGAGGGGACAGGCCGCTCAGCGCCCCTCACCACCCCTGTCCGCGCCACCCCCGTCCCGTCACGGCCCCCCCTGACTCACGAGTGGAACATGGACGCCAGCATAAGCTTCTCGTTGGAGGAGAGCCGGTGGCGGCCAAAGCGGATGGACACTGGGTAGTTGGCGGGGTTCCCCAGGAATTCCAGCACGTCCTTCCCGTCCGCCGTGAAGCGACCGTTCACCTCGGCGCCGTTGATGGCGAGCACGGCGTGGCCCACTGTGGGGACAGTGCGGCGGCACCAGTCAGTCTGTCACTCACAGTCAGTCAATAGGCCCGGCCTCGCCCGGCCCGGCCCGCCCGGCCCTTCCCACCCGCCGCACCGCGAATGCCGTCCCG